TCGCTTTCCACAGTTGTGAGGTCAACACTCGTGGAGAGATGAGAACACACTATGCAATACGTGTATTTGTATAGCAAGGTCTTATCGCAGTGAGATCACGTTGGAATGAAATTTTTACGCAAATTTGAAGTTTGGCTTCTTTGGCGCTTGGTTTCATTCTCCCGTTCCTTCCCGCCTCCCCTCCATGAATTCGACAACACAGTTCAGAATGGTTGCAGCTGTGCTCAGTGGGTGCATATTGCAGTTTGAGAGGGCTCATTGCAGTCATAACATCACGATGGCTTAATAGGGAATTTGATCTTGCTTTATTAGCGCATGGCTCTCCCCTCCATCTCCTTTACCTCTATCCTGCCTACAGTTGCCACTTGCCAAGTAAGTGGAGAGCAGCCACGTTTTTGGGATCAAATCTCGGCTTGAATCCTCGTCGGCAACCAAGTCCTCAGAGTCACTATTTGCTCTCAAGAGCGACAGTTGCCGTACCAGTCACACTAGGAGTTCAGTGTTGGAAAAGCCGGAATGCAAGGGTTGTATGTGCGACCTTTCATATTGAACATCGGGTTGACAGGAGGTGCCCGACTGTTGGTAATGGAGTGGGCTTGCAACGGTAATTCCCCCTTCAAATTCTGAGTTCTCAAAGTATTGCCAAATAGTGCTTCTATAATTCTATACGTATGTCAGGTCTTCAAGAGTCCCTGATTTATCGCCAAATTCTTTTCCCTTCATTCCGTGTACGTATAGAGGGCGGAAGTGGTGTAGTGGCAAGTGGCACGCTCACCACGCGAGCGGTCCGGGATCAAATCCTGGGTCGTGAGTCGCCTGGGCCAAACACAATTGGTACCAGACTTGTCTGGGAGGATAAAAACACTGACTTGTACATCGGCTGGCCCCCGCAAGTCATTGTATAGGCCACATCGCATTCAAACGCCACTGCGAATGTACAAATGGAAGTAGAATGCGTGCCGCATCCCAAAAGGGATTGATCAACGGCAAATGCTTTATCCTTTTTTATCCTTCCGTGTATCTCCGTGTAAGGTGTGTGACTCACGTTGACGGCGTGCTTGCTTGGATTGTATCGAGTAGCTCGAAGGTTGGCAGCCTCATCCATTTCCTCAGGTAAAACCCTTGCGAAAACATAGTAAATCCTGATCAGGATATTGTTGGATAAACTTTGTTTTAGCGCAAGACAGGCTTTGATGTGGGAATACCCACCTCATAAGAGACGTTAAAAGCGCCGAAATGAACATTGACACATCCTCGTACTATTGGAGGACGGAACGAGTGTAGGAAAATTGTGACTTGAGAGCACTTCCATAGGTGGAGCTGCTTACACGCCACAGTGACGTTGGTGTTATGAACCTGAACTGTTTGTTCGACGACCGTCGACATGTTCATGGGTATAAGCCTACCTCTCTGAGTATTCACTGTGCCATTGGTAGGTCCCAGTACCATGGCAGGACAGGATCTTATGTTGTCTGCGATAATGGTGCGACATCTGTAACGAAGCAATGTGATCGAATAATTTCTTACGGTTTTGCTTTTGAATGACAGCAAGTCTAGTGATACGCTCCAAAATCAACTTGGTGAAGTAAGAGCGCTTGATAATGAAAGTTGGAGCGTGAAGTGGCCGCCGGTTGGGGAAAAAGAAACAAGTAGACGGAAACAAATTATAGGTATCATCTTTGTTCCAAACAGTAGAGAACAAAGGCAACGCGCGAGATGAGGGATAGTGACGTCGAAAAAGAGGCCAATTGCTAGAGAGATGAGCATACCTAATCAAGCATCAGAAACGTAGGCGCGATACTACCCCACTGGAGCGTATAAGTCAGCGTTAAGGTGATTGTGATCGTTTTTCTCCCTAATAACCCGTCTGGCTCGACGGCGCCATCGTGCTCCATCGTCCACCTTCCCCGCTCCATTTCAGCTTTTTAGCAACAATTCACTCACCCCACCTTAGGTTGTGCCTTCAGGGGTAGACCTCTAGAGGACAGTCACAGATGTGACGCATTTGGGCAGGGAAATCCAGAAAAAGGAGCTAGCGAATCGCAAAGTAAGCTGCAATGTTCCCCTTGTTGGAGGTAACGCACACCCAGCCCGTTGCGCGCTATTCGGCGAGACGCGTATGTTGAAGATTAGAGAGGGGACGGGTCCCGAAGCGTTCGCGTTTCAAACTTCGTTGTACATAGAGAGTACTGACGCAAGTGGTCAGCTGGTCCAGCAGCTCCGCCAGAAGGGCTGGTTTGCTCACCCCAGGACTAAGCCTTGGAGAGGGGACGGGCCCGTCCCCTCTTTAAGGCTTAGTTCTGAGGTAAGCACCAAATTGTGTGTCTATAGGAACGAGTTGAAGTGAGTACCGTCCCACTGTCGGGGACTCCACGCCCCCCCCCCCCCCCGCCGAAACTCAGCACACGCGTCTAGCCGAAGCGCCATAAGGGCTGATGCTTACCGCCCTTGTTGGCGCCCTCTCATCTGTTGCGCTCTCTCGCGTCATACTCTCCTCTCCGCTCAGTCTCTCATTGCCTTAGCACAACCGTATTGCGAAGTTTATAAAGCTCTTAGACCGTATGTAAATATGCTGTTAACTTAAAGGCACAACCCAGGCAGAGTTCGTGTGAACGCTTCTCTTCGGTCTCTAGTATAGACCCTAGAGGACAATCACAGATGTGGCGTCCTCGTGCACGGAAACCGACCGATAAGAGCGCTTGGGCCTTGCAAAGTAAGCTGCCCAAGCTGCAGACTTTTTTTCTTATCAGGCTGTTGTCTGGCGCTCTCTCATCTGTAGTGCTCTCGCCCATACATCACATACTCTCCTCTCCGCGCTTAGTCCCTCATTCCCTTAGCACAGCCATAATGGGGAGAGGACAAATGTGAGCGAGCCCCTACAAACAACAATAAAGCTTTTGACTGATTCTTCCCTTTTCTCTAAAACGCCGCGTCCCACTTCCCAACCATCCAATCACATCGAAGTGCACCCATGACCACACACCAATGTGACCCTAAAGATTGTCCGCTCAATTATTTTTGCTGGATTCCTACTTCCCTTGTTCACATGATGGCTGATTTGGCTTCAATAATTTCACAACTCGTGTGCAAAACCACACCAGTTCGATCCTGGTACATGTTATTAATGTACTCTGCTCTATCCATTGTACATAATTCCACGCATCGCGTCGATGGAGTTGAAAATGCTGAAATGCTAGCTCCGAAAGACGCTGTGTTGACCCAGCTTCAAAAAATATGGTGGAGCGGCGAGTGTGCTCACCTAATCTTTCTTGCTTAGTCCTTTCCGCCACCACTGCTGCCGCGATACCCCAACGCTTCTGCACGACACCCTATGAATCGTGAGACATGAAGGGATCATGGGGCATCTCGATCGTTCCATAACTCCTTATATTCACGACGAAAATTGCTTCTTGAACGCTCACTGGCAGTTTTTCCCTTGCACATATTGTCGCCGTTCCTGGAAGTCTTGCAGCAGAACATCAAATAGACGTCCCTTATGAGCAGGCCCTCCCTCTCTCAGCGTCTCGAATGTGAGTCTTTTGCCATCGCCGTCAAGCTCGAGGAGACCTGCCATAATTGCTCCAGCCTGAGTTTGCTACTTAATTTCATTCGAGTAACTGATGGATAGCTTCCTGAAGACAGTAGCTTTGAATATGCAGGACCTTTTCCGACCAGCCTTCCAGGTAAAGTGATGTTTGGCCACGGTCGAGGACCTCATTGGGCTCGACCGGCGCGCTATTTCCCCTTGGCACTCATCTGATGTCGTCGATGTGGAAGAATGTTTTGAAGTTTTCTGATATATCGGAATGTGCTGCTCGTTTTTCAGTGGGGGAGTCGCTCCAATTCGGAAGTGTAATTTGAATTGTTTGGAATAGAGTGAGAATGGCTTCTTTGCCCCTGATTTGGCATTTTTTCAAGAATTAATGGGAAGAAGCGGTTAGCGCTCACTATTCGGTATGCGCCTCGTATGAGTTCACTGAAAATAATAGTGCCGAAAGTTTATTTACGATGAGAGAACAAACCTCCATGGCGCGATGAACATCGATTCAGACTTATTGGACGATATCCTAAGATGGACGTCTTTGTAGACCGCCTAAAATAGTGAAAATTAGTGACTTCTTAGTTCTTCAAAAGGCTGACGTGTAAGGATTATATGAATAAATGGGTACGTCCAAAGGGAAGTCGATGAATTGTGGAAACTGCAAGGTTATGAGAGCAAAGTTAGGCCCAGATTACGTGTGTATATTTCAAGTACACTCGCCAATGCGTTATTCGTGCTCGCGCATTGAGCCAGCAATAAAGTTGAACTGTCAAAAAGATGTGGAGAAGCTTTCTTCCGCTTTTTGAGGTATCGCAAATTTTTGGAAAATTTCGCGCAGGTAAACCGAAGCTCGCGGACTTTTTTATTCATGTTGGTACTACCTTCATCTGAGGCGATTTGCTCAGCGTCTACTTATTGCTGGGTTATTTTTTCCTTAACATGCTCTTTTTATGCTACCTGATGTTTGATTCACGATCGATCACATTATGCGCATACCTTTGTCAGCAGCTGGAATCTTTGCCAACCGCATACAGTAACCTTTCGGCGGCTGTTCGTCAATGATGTCACTCGTCGAGGTGAGCATGAGGGCTAAAATTTAGCTGAGTGGTTTTGCAGTGACTGGCGGTGGGTTTATATGAGACCTATCAACTTACCGTGTCTACAGAGAGATCATCGATCTGAAATGGATCCTGAACAAGGCACCGTCTCATATTAGCGACCAATTTTCGAAGCGAGATCTGAAATGAACTGACTCTCCCCGAGTTATCGAAGAACTCTGAATAAAGTGTGGGGGGGGGAGGGGGAAGAGAGTAGGGTAAAGGGAAGAAGCGGTCTGGAAAATATTGGTTTGGCCAGCTTTTCCTGTCGAAACATTTGGAGGAAAAGTCGCAAATTTCGATATTGAATGTGACAGACGTGCATGCTGTCGCGAAGCAGCCTGTGTGCCTGTTGAACGACTTTAGTTTTTCTGAGTACTCACCTCATTGTCTTCGAGCCAAAGCTTCTGGATGATATCTGATGCTTTCACGATCTCATCGTGATGCTCATCCGCCTCGTCGTCCTCCATCATCCCTTCGAAGAGCAGGTCTATTGAGTTGGTAAGCTGAAGGAAATGAGCAGCTGTGAATCTAGTGACTTAGGCCCCACTTGGGAGCGAAATTCTGGAGTGAATATAATTGGAAAACCTTCTTCAGCTGTTGATTAGAGAAGCGAAGACGATCGTTTTTCAAAGCCGTTCGGGAACAACCGAGAGCGCAGCGGCAAAGCACTCCAATGAATTCATCTAAAAGTTGGTCTAATTTATGTCCAGGACTTGGAAGAAATCCAGGAAACTCACCCATCTGTTGATGTACCATCGCTGTTACCACATCTCCTCGGATTGCAATCGCTCTAAAAAAAAGAGCTCTCATTGGAACACTTTGGGTTTGTGGAAGCTACACGATAGTTTTCTGGTTGGAGCACGTTGAGTAGAGTATGGAACTTCTTGGTGACACAATTGTGGAGAAAGAGTCCGGATGAGTTCCTTTTCTTCATTATTTAGCTCAGTTATGCATGCCCCACCTTTCCAGCCTACGGTGCGTGGCATTTCATGATTGTAGCGCATCCATAGGCTCAATCAGCATGGGCAATGGGTTTAATGAAAGAACTCACTCATCGGCTTCATAGGAGAAGTATTCGAGGCCAACGAGGAGCATATGTAGAGAGAGGCAGGAAAGTGTAGCATTAGCCTGGAACAAGCATTTCAAAATGAAGGGTTTCAAGGGCACGTCGAGCAATGCAGACTGTAAAGTGTATTTGTTGCAGTTTAGAACAATGACGAGTAGTTGCTTCCCACTATATTTATCATGATCTTTTAGGTGCGGGAGTGAGTGAGCAGTTTGAATTGAATTCTTCATAAGAGTTCCTGGTGATATGTGAGGTCATAGGCATTTGGCGCGAGCGATCGTAGTGTGGTCGAATTGACTCACCCACAAAATTCGTAGTACAGGTATAGAGAGGATAGGAACCAAGTGAAAGAATTGCAATCAACGGCGGTCAGCTCATTCCCAGCATCTCTTTCAGTGACTGACCGGTTAACAAGGAAAGGATCCCAGGTTGCGACGGCCATTCAAAAAGAGGTGCATACATCTGGATCGACTCCGAAGCTGATCTCAAATATACCTTACATATCAGCTAAGCGATTTTCTGAACGGAGTTATGAAGCAAAACAGCGCAACAGTAAGCGAGACTCTTAAAGACAGTGGTTATGATTGGTTTAAGACGGGTTCGGAGGAGACGCAGTGGCGTCAGTGGGACGTTAGCGGCGAAAAAAGCGGAGGAATCCGTTAGGAAAAAAAAATGCAAAACGGGACCCCCTTTTTCATCCGTTCATTTTCACGCATGAACAGGTGACTACTCAGAAAGCGAGCATGTGAACGAATTCAGCGCAACGCGTTTGGTAACACCACGCCAAACCACACTACATTTGAGTTCACTCCAGTGCCGCTGCTGGGGTCCACATCGCTGGGCGGATCGCTTTTGGGAGCGGAGTGCTTTCAAAGTCCTGCTCAGCAACCAGTGAACCTTCCGTCGTGAAAGCGCTACACCTGGCTCCCTGGTAGCCAAGTAACTGTTCGTGGTGTGCCTGTGCGTTTCCCCGATGCGCTCCCACTTTTATCGTAATCGTTGCCTTTAAAACGTAGAGATGCGACTCTATCGTTGTTTTTGTTTTTGCTTTTTTAATGAGCTGAAACCGGCTTTCAGCAACCAACTTAGCTGTCTTCCTGAAGAAAGCAAAACAGTAAACACGATCAGGGACCGATCCTACGACGTTTTGACTGTGAGTCCCGACCACTACCGTTGCGCTGTTTTGCTTCATAACTCCTTCAGAGAATCGTTTAGCAGATTTGGAAGGTAGATTTGAGATCAGCGTTCAAAGGCACATCTAGGGTATACATCTCTTCTTGAATGGCCATGGCGTCCTGGGATCCTTTCTTATAAGTCCAGCACTGTAGCGGCCTACTTTTATTCTAGTACAGACTGTGCTTCATTTGGTGCTACACGGCAAGTAACTTGGTTACCACTTCATAACCGCGTGCACTAACCATGCTGGATACAGTGGAAAGTTGAATTGGTTTCCCACAATAATATTGTGAATTGTGACATTTCAGTTGTTAAATGACTAACTTCGTCGCCAGAAGCGTTCCGGTAAACCGCTTCGCTGAGCGTGTTGTCCAGCCCTATCTCGTCGACAATATTGGACCATTCCAGCACACTGAAAGTTCAAGGAATTGCCTCGGATGGTTGTGAGTTTCAGGTTTTTTCAAGCTTGGGAAAAGGCTTAAAAATAGGAAGAGGTGGAGAAAAAGCTGGGCTTCTTCACGGCTAACCTTAGACGATCCCAGTTCCTCGCCTGACACTCATCGATAAGCGCATGCGCACCATCGATCGCGGTCGATGGACCTGGGGAATCCTCGTTGCGTGGTGAAGCCGACGATGGCGACGCTGTTGTCGAGAAATCCAGAGGTAGAAACGACTCTAGAAGAAATTCCCCACGTAGCCACACCCACACAGAAACAGTCATACTGAAAATTGTTGATATTTGTTTCATTAGTTTCACCCACGAAAATGGTTATGCGTTAGCATAACCTCACAGTGAGAGTGCACTGTGGAGATATCGATTGTGTCAAGAGAATTCTATGAAAGAGAAATAATTTGAAGAGCAGATGTATTTGGTCGTTTGTGTCAGCGAGGTCACGGGTTCTAAAATAGCACGGCACTGCGCAAGGAATTTGCTTCAATTTGCAGGCTCCGAAGCAGGGTCAATCCTATGTTGCGACAGGTACCAAGTATTTTGTTGAAGCTTGTAGGGGGGGGTCGTATTCGATGTAAACTTAGAATACTTAGAATTCATGGGTGAGTTTGGGGCGCGTAGTGTGAAGGAGCGGAAAAGCTTTTGCCGTTTCACTGTACGTATATATTCCCCCGCTCGACGGCTGTTCTGGAGGGAAAAGTGGGTGGAGGTGGGTGTGTCGACAGTCTCAGACTTAAAGGAATCTTCCACGGACCATGGACCAGTGGGCGGGACCGGAAGTTTTTGTGACGAAATGCATGGTAGGTACGGATCCACGTGTCGAACGCACGAACGTGAACAGGATTCACTTCAAACCTTCCCATGAACGTGGATCCGTACCTACCATGCATTTCGTCGCAAAACCACTTCCGGTCCCGCCCACTGGTCCATGGTCCGTGGAAGATTCCTTAACCAAAACAGCTCGTAAGAACAGCGACCATGCTAGGTGAGGGTGGTGAAGGGGGGGTCTGACATTTTTTGTGTGGGAAGTGCGGGATCAGTAAAAAATATGCGAAACAGGCCGCAAACCGTCGGTCGACCCGAACCATTGCGCCAAATGAGGCATTGCACCAGGAAACGTTAGCTACACTAAAGTCAATATCAAGTCGTTGTTTTCCTGTTGGGCTCAAGTGGAAGAGAATAGACAATATTTGAATCCTTATTATGAAGAAAAATAAAGAACAATGGCTATCAACTAAAATGAGCAATGACGGCAAAAATTGTCCGATTACATGCGGGTTGGCGGCGTTGCCATGGGAACAGTAGGAAGCGCAGAAATGAGAGTCGATTGTTTGTTGAATAAACAACGAGGCAATTGTGGGCATGGATTCAGATGTCAGGCATCCCAAATTGCAAATTAGCAAGGAATGAGAATGATGTGCGTCTGATCTTAATGATCACAAAATATCACACAACAATGTCGATTTGTTTTATGGAATGCAGCAGATGTGGTGGTTTCTGGATGGCTTTGGCGGCATCATACCGTACTTCTCTTTACTTCCACTCGCTCAGGTATCTATGCTAGTGGAGTCTCATGCTACTCCGAATTGTATTGCAACTGATGTGATGAGCCACTAGAAGTCCTGGCGCTATGAACAGTGTGTTCTGGGGGGATGAAATGCTGCAGCACGCCTGAAGAATCGCTTTTCCCGCTTAGCTATAGTCGCGGTCCGCGCCTAACGTACGCCAGTTCGGTTTCTAAACAAACAAGGACAATGTTTTACGTGGTTTTAAATGCATGGGTGCCACAATGCCCTCGTGTCTTGTGGTAGCGCCCCTAGTTAGCTGAGCCTAAGGGGATACTTCTTGCTTCCCCCTCCCCCTAATCGACCGTCTTTTCATCTTTAAAAGCAGTTAGTATGACAAATGACGCGCCAATCGAAATTCGACTGTACGCAGCTGCTCCACCTGCCTACAAGGTGAAGGAACCTCTACAGCGGCACCTGCACGCCACACACACTCTGCGCCAAGCTTCTTATTCTTTTCCCATCTCTTCCTTCCTCGCTCACTGAGCCCGGCGGTTCTTCTACCGCGTGCATCACATCTCTCTCGCCTCGCTTCCACGCAACACCACACGCGATCTCTCTCGCTCTCTCACTCGCGCGCTCGCACCTCTCACCCTCGCTCTCTCTCTGCGCGCAGCGCAATTGGTATCTCGGTAGTCTACTTTACTTTCATTCTTTCACTTTTTAGTGCAAGCCTACAAAAAGTGAGTAACTAGCTGCGAGCGCGGTACTAAATGCACAGGTTAAGGGCACGGGTCTTGATTAGATTCTTGAAGAGATCCTCTCCCCGAGTGAGGTAGCTGGACCACTAATCGGTGGGCTGGCAATGGTGTCGCGACTTGAAATTAGTCGTTAAGGGAGCTATGCCTTCGCTTGACTGCTGCTACCGCTGGCCTTATCAGTTACGTGATTCGTGCTCTCGTGCAGCAATATGCTCTGTCGCGTTAGTCCTTCCTTCACAGTGCCGGTTCTCTCCATCGTGCTGTGGTCGAGCTTTCAGGGAAATTTTCAGTATTTCATGGGCTCTTTGCCTTCCCTAGTGATGTTCCTCTTCATACTTTTGGTCTAATTTTGAAACGCAAGCTGCGGGATAGAATTTGTGGGTAAAAGGGTTAAGTAGAGAAGCTGTAGGAAAGTCTGAAAAGAAAAAAAGCATAAGAAATTCCGATTACGCCCTAAATCAACCTGCTCTCTTGCAGCCGCATTCTTCCTGAGATAGGGAAGGGGCGTATTCGGACGAGTTTCAGGATGGCGACTTACAGTTCCTTAGTGTCACTGACATTCAGTCGTAATGTTAACGCTGCGGTAACTGCGTCCGCGCTTTTCTCGCAGCGTCACATGGCAGCCTACTGCAAAAGGCCTGCGGACGAAGGTATGGATTGCGAGCCAAGCGGGTTTCAGGCACCCCTTTCACGCACTCTCGAGCCGCAAAAGGGGTGCGATACTATTGCTGCTTACATGCACGTCTGCTACGCTCGGGGATGGAAGGCGTGAGCATACGTAATCTCGGAGCGTGCCTTTAAATGGAGTAAGACACCCTTCTATCGCGATCAGTGCGTTAAAGCGAGTCGGGATTAGGTTCCAAGAGCCGGTCTCCTCTAGAGTGAGAAAGAGGGTCTCTAAGGTAGGAGCACGACACTGTCGCGACTCAAAAGTGCGAGGCAACGGCGCTAAGGCCTTGCCTTGTGTGCTGCCGTGCTGCCAGCCTTATCAACCACAATACGTGGTCTCTGCGCCCTCTCGCGTACGACGTACTATCTCGTTCTCCCTCTCTCGCAGCGCTGTGTCTCTCCGTCATACCACGGCCGACCTTGTAAGGGATCTCAGTATAACTTCTAGGCGCCTTTCTGGTTTACTCCTCACTGATATTCCTCTATCTCGCCCTTGCCTGCCAGTGTTCAAACAAGTGATCATGGCGTCAAATCAAGTTCCCGACTTGTTTCGCGGATTAGTGGGTAGGGGAGATTTTAGAGAAGTCTCAGCTTCCAGTGTAGTCCCTATGTGCGCGGCTCAGTGAGTTTTTCAAGGGCTACGCCGTATGCGCAAAGAAAAAGCAAACGGTGCGATCGAAGGAATGCTCGACGGTATCCAATTCAGCGTCACAAAACTAGACGCAGCACTTACACAGGTGGAAGAAAGCAGAGAAGTCGCTCAGATCAATATGACCTTCGTGTAGTCGAAAATTCAAATCTGTGCCTTTTCTTGCGTAAAAATCAGGCTCTACTTCCCTCGCATGTATGGCCGCTTAAAGGGGTATTACTGAGCTTAAGAGGTACTCCGCGGTGAAGAGGGAGTACAGACACGGGGCGAGAGTGCACGGTGACAAGCGAGAGCTTAGTCAAGTGAACGAAATGGGCTACGATTCCGCGGTATAACTGAGCCCTAGCGCTCTTTTCGTGCATTTCGAGCCGCGATTATGACCTCTTTACACAACTTCATCTTACCCATTAGAGGGATTTATCCTCTTGTAAATAGGGGTCTTTCTTCAGCCATCCAGAGTGAGCTAACTTTGTGACTTACATCAGACTTGTAGAGCGGCCGGTATTTAAAAAATATGGACGTTCCCTTATAATGATAATAAAGCTTAGCATCAAAATATCGACTCGGAAAGGGTGAAGGGCATCGTTGGGCTGCGCGGGTTCCGGTCCAGTGCGATACTGTAGCCTCTGCTCTACCACATGAGACAGCCGCGCAACCCCTAACTCTGTTGGAGGCTTTACGATGAATTGGTGGCTACATTATCGAAGTCATTTTGCTTTATTTCTTGTTTCAGGCTAATCCAGCGCCTGTCTCAAGTAAGAACGGCTTTTACTTTAATTACTACTTCCTTACTATTACTTTTGTTTTACTTTACTGCAAATTAGTGAAGTTGAAAATTGATTCACTTATTTTGACGGTAAGCCACTTAATATCCGGTTCAAGTACGTTTCGCTCAATCACATACAGTAAAAATTTTGAATTATGAGGTTCTGAGACTGAAGTTTCTGCCTTACCTGGGCACGAGTGGGCACGAGTGTCTAGGTTGAGTTTCAGTCGAGGAGTACCTCTTTCTGCTTCAACTGAGTACAATCAAAAGGCGGAAGCTGTGCATAATATGTACAGCGTCATCCGCTCCTGTTCCCCAGCTATAGTAGGGGATCACCCTGCCGTTATGAGTGTGGCTCTCAGTTATTTTGAATAGTATTCTACTCTGACCCCACATGGTGTCCTCCTGGGGTTTCAACTTTGCACAGAGGAGGCTTCTGCTCGTTTATGTGAACGCATAGTGAAGTATAAACTCCTCCTGAGACAGCTCAGACGAGATGGCTCAGTAAGTTGAGATCAAGGGTAGAGCCATTAATTCGAGGGTATGATAAGGGAGCGCGGCCCCACATCAGCCCTGAAGAGTATTTCTTCATGTGAAGTGCCGTCTTGTGAGAAAGGTCTTTTTTTCTCTTGGAAGTGATTAGTTATCTTAGTAAGGAAAGTGCAGCGAATGTGCGACCTTGCTCTATGCGAGAATTTTTCTTTACTGAGGTTCAAGAGCTAGAAGCCGAACGGTAAGCCTTAGAGTTTGGCTGTAATTATCCACTAAAAGCTGTGGAGAGTAATGGCATGCCAATTCTGGGAAAAAATCTATAGACACTCACGGAGCGGAAGATCAAATTTTGGAGCAATATTCATGGGACACCCTGTACATGATGCTGGCTCGTGATTATTTCGCGTATTGTATTTTATTCAGTTACC